GAAGCATTTGCAAGTACCAAAGAGCTGTTCAAGTATTGCATGCTATTATGTGCCAAGTTGAGTCAAGTTTTTACTTTTGTTTTTTTCATAAAGCAACTTTACAGACTTTATGATAGTGAATGTATGTTGAACTATTTGAGAACTTCTTGGTGATATAAAAAAATCCAGAAAAATTGCTGAATAGAGTCATATTATTGTTTCCATCAGTCATGAACCACTGTGAATTGTGTACTGCCATAAATGTACATATAAGTAAATCTGCTTTGTCTTGATAAGATTAATAAGGCTAATAATAAAAGGAAGTAGGACTAAAGCCCTCCTCATGATTAACAAAATAAATTATCCTTCATGGTTTTAAAAGATGAGAAATCACACAACATTGCTTGATTAATTTAAATTGTTTGCCCCGTTCAGGTAACTTAGTAGAGATTTTGATTTGTTACTGCTTTAATTAGGGCACATGACTGACATATGATCCTCTCACAACTCCAGATTCAATGTTTCTTGCAATATAAGGCAGACTTATGAAATGCACATTTATCCTGCATGAGCTCTGTCTTTTGGTAAGGTATCAAGGGAAGCAGAAGCATAACACATGCTTTGCTGAGTCATGGGTGACATGCATTTTAATAAATCTGTTTCAAGCAATTTGTAAAGTACACACTTTGTTGAATGAGGCCATAAAATCTATGCTTTCGCCTACAGCTCTGTTCACAGATACTGCAGGCTGTAACACAGGTTAGAGACTTAAGCATTTTTGCCTATATATATGATCCTGACATTGTTCATATTTTCAAGCCAGATAGAAGAATTATATCTGATTTTTGGTATAAACCCACCCACACATTTCAGTTCCTCCAGGATGTAGGAAGTGAAATCCTTTCCTTGAAACCCAGAGGGAAGAATGACATTTGCCTGGCCTTAACGTTCTTAAAGACTCATTATATTGACAGCATCCACAGAGCAAAAAGCAACAGCTCCCGAGAACAGTGAGGAAATGTCACAAGGTGTACTTGTCTTGTAGCCAATGAATATAGTTGGGAGCAAGAAATCTGACCCTCAGCTCAACTATGCAAAGCACCATCCAAAAAGTCTCTGCCTCTTTGCTTACAGTGCAATTGTTCTCCACCAGGTTTGATTTCCTAGGTTGATATTGGGGTGGTTAAATATTCTGGACTCCCTTTGCATCTAATTCTGTTAGACTAAATTTTATTCTGGAATAGGTGCTGCAGGGGGAAATGGCTAACATTAACATGTAGTAATTCTTGTGCATAATGTCAAGTATGTTGCATTTTTTGTGTTTAAATTAAAACTCAACTCTTTTTGGTAACAATATGAAATTGTTAGTCTTGCCTTCTTCTGGGGCTTTTTTCCATCTTCTCAGTCTATCCTACAACCCTTGGATTTCCTGGTGGCTCCCACCCAAATACTAATCAGATTCAACCCTTGTTAATTTCTGGGATCCACTAAGGTCAGCTATTTTCTGTCACAAAAGCTGAGCAATTCTTGTTCAGACATGCAAAAGAGAAACATATCCAGTTGGGTGTCTAATTATGTACTAAGGCCTGAAAAGCCCTTCCTTCCAAAACTGAAAAGGAAGAAGATATCTTAACATCCTTTTTGTCTAATCCTTAGCTACAGGGACAACTTCCCCAATCCTTCTCTCAAAAAAGAACTGCAAGCCTGAACTCACTTCTGCTCTGAAAAGTTAGAACTTTCTGCAGAAGTGGGAAAGGGGAACCTTATTCATTTATTTATTTATTTTTCAAATTTGTCACCGCCCATCTCACTACAGAGTGACTCCATTTTACCCTTACTGTATGCATTCCTTGTACAAGGCTTTAGATCTACCCTTAAAGAAATTGCTGTCTTGAAGCTGGGGAAAGCCTCTTTAGTGGAGAAGTGAAATTAATTATCTTTTGAATCTTTATCAATCTCAGCTTCCCCTAATTCAGAAGGTAGTCAGGGTGAAATCTTGTTAGTGTCACTATGCCCTTTGTACATACGCAGTTGCAAAGCTATTATGCAAGCCCCCATGAACACAAAATGTTGTGTGCCCCCATTATTTCCATTCTGTCATTTCCCCACCAGATAGCCGTTGTAATTGTTCCTTGTAATTAATAACAGAAAGATTTTTAAAAGGCAAATTTTAAAGTCACTCCACCCCTTTTTTTCATTGTACACAACTACAGTATAATAATCTTTTGTTTCAGGAATTTACTCAAATTTAGGGAAAGGTATACCTAGCTAGTCCCATCACAAAATAGGAGAGGGGACAAGGTATTTCAGGAAGAAGCTTGTCTTTACTTTTTTTCTCTATTTCTTTTTGGGTTTTGGACTGGTTAAAAAAAAAAGCCTAAATAAAGGAAGAGAAAGGAGAAGAGAGAATGTGGAAAGGATGGGTACAGTTTCCATTTTACCATAGGGAGAAAATTACCACTATTTCATAATCTTTAAAATGGAACCAAAACTGCCAACTTTGGTTTGCAAATTGTGAGCCAGATGTTTGCAGCATCCCTAAATTTATGCATATACACTCAGCCTGGGCGGCAGTCACTAAGGCTCTTCTAGTTCTGACATATCATCTGTCCAGTCATTCAGAGGCAAGAAGATCAAAGTCAGCCATTAAAGGAAACTGCTAACCCAACAGCTGCAAGGCCATTCTTGGCCACCCACAGGGCTGAACATGAATAAGGAGCCTGGCTCTGCTCCTGTAGATCCCCAATAAAATCTCAATACATAAAGAAGTGCTAGAGAAGAGTAGAGGTAGTGAAGTCTTCAGCTAAACATCATTCTGAACAAGGCACCTTGCACATGCAGTATTCATTAGGGTTAGATGATGCTTCAAAAGGGTGCTTTGAATAAAGCTCCCCTTTGAAACTGCTTCAAGAAGCAATGTAATCCCCTTATATCTAAGAGCATCCTGCCCTGTTTCAGAGCCTTCATGGCCTTCTCCTGAGCAGCTTCCACTTGGGAAAGACTCAAGAAGCTTCTCCACCAGTGGTGGCCAAAGGTCTTCTAAATGAGTGGCTTCAGCAAACTCTTCAGACAATCCTGTCATGCATCCTCAAGTCACCTATTTGGGGCATGGCAGAAAGTAATCCAAGGTTCTGGTATGGCTGGAACCACTGGGCAAAAAGATGGAAAAGAACTTTTTTCCCATAGCGCTAAGCTGAAGCAGTTCCAGACCACCCAAATTGTTTTATCAGGGTAAACTAGGTGGTCTCTTTGGTTCAGCAAAGTAAATCAAATCTCTACCATGGCCTGAAGCACTTTCTTGAAATTAATAGTAGTCACTTCACACAGGCCTAAAATTCAGGGGCTAGATCTCATAACATCCTTCTCTTGATTACCAAATTATCCCATTCTGGGGGTTCATACAATATACTGAACCACAAATAGGCTCATTTCTTTAAAACAAAGCAAGTTAGCATTTTGGGCAAATGCAACACCTAAGTCTGACCTGGTTAAAAAAAATGTGATTCCAATCTTGCAGTTCTGCCTGGACCTGCTTATCTTCATAGAAAAGGCATATTGGATGCCTGACTGGGGCATTTGGAGCACACATGCTAGCTAGAAACTTTGTTACGCTAGGTCAGATTGTGGTTGGATTTAAATGACAGACTGTTCTCAACCACTGTTCTCAATAATTGTCCTCAACCATGGCTTAACCTTAAGTTAACCTTGCTCTCTGGATTCATATGACACACTGACCCATAAACTAGCCTAGGCTAAAATGTGGTTCAGTGCATAGTGTTCATACTGGTATCTGCTTTATGAAGAGCAGGGCTTCTCCCACTGTACTATAGCATATCCTTCAAGTACCTGCAGGACAGACAAATTGCTCTCCACTAATAACTTACACCCCCAGAGCTATAGCATAAAGCCTGGACAGATTTTTTTTTTCTGCTCAACAATCCCAGGATATCAAAAAAGGGAGCAGCAAAAATGCATAATATAATACAGCAACACTGTTTTGTTAACCCTCATAATACAATATAGCTATAGAGTTTCATCATTGCATGATTGAAATCCAGGACTTACTTTCTCCTTGGGTCTCTGTTATGGGAAAAGCTGTATCTCCTGCAGTTATGGCTGTTTATGTTAGTTTATAAAAGTACAGGTCAGTTATTTTAAAAAACAAAAATGAAATACAGCTGCCTATCCATTTAGTATATTCACCAAGGCAAATAAATAAGCAAGTTTTAAAGAGGCTTGTGTGCATGCTTCAAAAATTAAAAATTAATTAACATATCCACATAAATGCAGTGCATAATGAGATAGTCAGCATAGATTACACCTCCCCCCCAAATGTAAGCATTCTTTTAAATTGAAAGCACGACTCCATCAATTTGGAGTTAAAGGGTTAACCTTTAAAAGTCTGAAGAGTTAATGAATACAAATAAAAATATTTGCAGGAGCTCAATGATAAGACTTATTTTTTCTGAAACACACTCCCATGGCTATGACCCTGGGTGAATAATATTTGATGGTCAAAAGTGGTTTCTTCCCATGATAAGCAAAGCAGAATGAATTATGCAAAATAAAAGGAAATCTGCAAAGAAGCATTATGCAAAATAATGGGGGAAATATGCAAAGGGTTCAATTTGCATCATCTATGCAAGTTAAAAAATTCAGCTTTCTTGGTTTATAGAACTGAGAGATTTTACTTCATTTTTGCTATGTTATATACTTCCCTTCCCCCCAAATAGGTCTTTAATCTCTAACAGTCAGCAACTTTGAATACATTCAGATGAACAAGAGCAGAAGGAAGCAACATGGTGCCTTCCAGATGTATTGCGTTACAATTCCTATAATCTTTGATCTGTGACTAAGGCTGTGAAAGTTAAAAAAAAACTTGAAATATTTCAAAACATTTGGGAGACACCATCAGGTCCAGTTCTAAATGAATAAAAGCAACCCAACCAACCCAACTCATATGACCTGTGTCACTGTTTAATGAGTATAGCTTGGGCAGGAAAAAACAAGTGAAAGGATATGAATGTACCAGAATTTTAATTGCTATTCTTCTGATTCGATGAAAAGGACTAAGAATATACAAGGCAGGAGTGGCACTAAATCGAAAGATGGTCTTCCCTTTGTTCAGTACTATAAATGTCTGGAAAACAAAGGAGAGGATAAAAAACATTTAAGGTCTGTATTAAAATCTCACATTACAGTAACCACTAGTTATTTCTAAGGCTGTGCATGCTTCAGAAATTATTCAGAGGAAGTGCTTCAGATCTCACCCAATCACAGCACCTCTGTGCTATTCATTAAAGCAGTCAGACTGTTTTTAGGCTTCTGCTTGAGTTGGGAAAAAAGGTATTGCTGCTTTAACGAAGCCACTCATTAAAGTTATTGCAACTCTTAAAGTAGCCACAACTTTTTCTTGGACCCCATGGAGTTAAACACATCTAGTTGTATATGATGAGCTTAAGTTATTGCACATCATGCTATTTGTAAAAACAAAGCAAACATGATTTCCCAGTCAATATGCAGCTCATATTCTTTTTGAAAGAGGGGTGATGTCTAGATACCATGGTGAACATTTATACACAAAAGTACAATGGAATGTTTTATGAACAAAATAAGACAGCAGGGGCAACTGGTTCAGACTGCCCCACATAGAAGACTGTTGCATATATAAAAATAGCAGATTGTGCAAGGCTCAGCTCCCTTTTTCAAATACTTCTTATCACTGCAACCTGGCTGCTCCCTTCAGATACTTATTGTCACTTCCAAAGCAAGAAGAAAGATTTCCTGAAGTATACCTTTCATGCATCTTTTAAAGAATCAAGAGACCTTTCAGATCACATCTCTCTGATACTCCAGTTTAGCCTTGCAGATGTCAGTCTTTTGACATACTGTACAAGTAAGTTGCAAACTTTTTTTTTTTTTTGCTAAGGCCTCCTGTGCCTTTAAAAAGGTGAGCAGAAAGCAAAGACCCAAACAAGTTCACACATCACTAAATCTGTACAACTGGGGAAAACACATGATCTACTGAAATGTAATCAAATTTATCTAGTAAAAGTGATCTTCCATCAAGAAACGTTTCTGAACTTCTCTCTATAATTCCATAAAGCTTACAGTATTGCTTATCCCACCAAAAATGCTTCTTATATTTTGTTTTTATAGATTTATCGCTAATCAGCAATGAGAATTGATCAGCTTCTAGGAATCTGTCTAGCTTTTTTCAACTATTCTTGCTACTGCTATCCCATAACATATATTACTAACTGTGTGTAGCAAAATGCTTTTATGGATTGCAGAAAAGGAAAAGCACAATCATTTCATCTATAGGCAGTTCAAACATATACTCACTAACTGGGAAACTGTGAGCATCCTAGACCAAGCCAAATCCAAAAACGCTAGGGAATTCCTAAAAGCTTAGCATTCAGACAAATCAGCCATCGATAGACACACAGAAATAAACCATATTTATACACCATTCAAAGAAGACAACAAAAAGCTAAGAAGGAAACAAAAATACCAGAACACATCCCCTCCACAGCCAACACCCAGATAAGCAGGGATTAACACCAGACAACAATCAATCAGAAAACAATACCCTAATCAAGGAACTACCAAGGAGAAAACCACACTCCCTACCAACACTGGCAGGGCAAGCTACCCTGTATAAACAGGGAGCAAATCCCACACCCACTAGCACTGATGATGCTACCTAGTCAGGTAATGAAATGTTTGCAAGCTCATAGAGCACCAAGGACTACACAGTTCAACCCTGAGCTAAATATACTCTCTTCTATTGGGATATACTCATTTACAAAGAAGCATCTTACATAGTTAAAAATACCACTGTCTCTGGCTGAGCCTTAAGATCAAAAGATATTTGGCAGAGACCTAGCTTTCTATCATTTATCTAAAAAGAGACAGTTACTTGATTTGAAGGAGAACTTAGACCTTTCCGATTTGCTATTTATTTTATCTATATTTCCATCTTTAAATCCCCACCCCACCCCCTTTCTAAAATGCAGCACAAATAATACTCCTTCCTTCAACTTTAGCCCCACAACAGCTACCCTTTGAGATAGGCTGGATTAAAACATAGTGATTTAGATCACATATCACACTGGGACATGATTTGTTTTACTATGGTTTACTGAATGGCTTTGTTCACACAATCCACTAAGACACATTATAAGTTAGTATATTGTATGAATCAAGCAAGTGACAGGTCACAATCCATCATTGCTGAAAGGAACTTGAAACTGGTTCTCGGGTCCAAATCCAACAGTCTAACCAGATATCCCCCAATCTGGGTATCATCCAGATGTATGGACTTCAACTCCAAGAATTCCCTAGCCAGCACAGCCATTGCTGAGAATTCTGGGAGTTGAAGTCTACAGAATTCAAGGATGCTCAATTTCAGGAAGGCTGTTATGACATCACAGTTTATAATCCTGGACATATCTTCTTCAACTACTTAACTCTCAGTCAGAATAGGGACATCTGCTAAGTGAAAAGAATGGAAGCTATGGAAGTTTTAAACATGTGTCACATGCAACCCTTCCCTTTCCCTCTCCTGATTTGTACTGGAGATCCACCTTCCATGACCTGTCTGCCTTTGTATGCCCTGACACCTGAATTGGATTAGTTAAAAAACATTTAAGGACAGTTGCTTTAAGTGACCAACTAACATCTTCTTATGAAAGGTAAAGTTCCCCTCAAATTGAGTTTAATTCCTGGGGACTTTCATGGACACATCCAGGTACTTTTCTTGGCAACAATATGGAAGTGGTCTGCTACTGCCTTTTTCTAATATTTTTAAACTTCCCAGTCTAGCCAATAGCCTTGTTATTACCTGGAGTATTAACCAGGCCTGATCCTACTTTGTTTTTGAGGTTAACTAGGTGCAAAATTTATTAAATAAAATTTTGTATCAGCCTACTCCAATGAAGCACTTCCAATTACACTGGGAATGAAAAGTCCAGAGAAACTGTGGAAGGCTGAGGTTCATCCACAGAATATAGGGGGGAAATTAATAAGGGGCAGTCCTTAGGGCTTTGAAGCATCTGATATTGATTGACTGAGCTGTTGCAAAGGTTCAGTGTGTCAAAGAACCAGATCATTTGCAATCCAACATCTTGGAGGGACAGGGAGACTGTCTATTTCAGTGGAACTAAAACATCACACAGTAAGTAGCCTTTGGACACAGAAAGCTAAAGGCCAAATTAAGCATAAGCAAAAAGATCACAAGTACAAAAAACAGGTCTGCTGCAAAATCCATAGTGGTGGGATGCCAAACAATTTACGGTACTAAAAGGGAGGGATTAATCTCTTCTCCACCTGTACTTTTTTGTTCTTTTTTTACAAGTACAGTAATCTCTCCTTGAGAGCAAAAGAAATGATGCTGCTATGGTTTCATGACCAAAAGCACTAGAGGTAAGATTAATTCCACCAGTTCCTGTTGTCCTTTCCAATTCCCCCATTCACACATTTTATATGGATTTGCTAGATCACTGGTTTGGGGTCATGATCATTGGTCAATGTTTCCCACAAATATGAGACAGTATAAAAAAACTGCTTTGAAAGTGCAGGGAAGGAGAGGAGTTGCTCTCCACGATAAGCGTGCATAATAAATCAGGCATTTTGAGATTATATCTCACCTTTGTTTTTCATATATCGTTCCCCCCCACATTTCTATTTGAAATAGTACTAGCATAAACAACAACAACAACAACAACAACAATTCTCCTGTTTGGAACCCAACCATCTTACACATCAGGAGTTTGACCCTGCTAGTTCTCACATCCTTAATCCAGGAAGGAATCATTTCCTCTGAAAAACAGCCTTCTGCCTCATTCCCTTCCATTATTCTTAATCATAAGTGCAGAGGTGACAGATTTGACCTTATGATCATGGTAGAAGGGATCAATGTCCTCCAAGGGTTCTCCAATGAGCTCTGATGGAGGAGACCCATAGATATCGGGCAGCTTCTTGCAAGCCTGTAAGTCAAACTGGGGGCGCAGTTTTTCTTCTTCTCCCAACTGGTCCCTACATTCCTGTTTGGTGTCCTTCGTAATCTTTGCCACAATCCGCTTTTCAATCTCAGACAAGGATTCGGGTGTGAACCGGTGGAAGCTGTTAGAACCCAGTGGTAACAAGAAGTCAGCCATCTTTTCATCCTGATTCTTCTTTGTACTGGCCGTTACTCCTAATTGTAAAAATAAATAAATAAATAAAACAAAAACCCTGAAAAAGAAAGAAAAAGGAAATATAGGTAAGTAGCACTCATTATGAGTGACAACTAGTGCTGTGTCAAACATTTATTTTGCTTCCTTTTTTAACCATCCTCCTTCAAAGTTAATGGAAAATAGATTGCATTTAGGTTTTTGTTTTAAAGAAAAAAGATGGTAACATTATTATGGACTCCAGCACTTACTTTAATTGCAAAGTAGCCAAGGGGAGTGTGTGAATGCCCCATTTTTCATTTTACAGTCATTTTTCCAATGGTCTGCAGTTCCCTGGTTTCCCATGATTCAGTTCAGCCTAGGGAGTTCTTCCCATAGGCTTTCTTAGAACACAAATTTGAGCAGCCAAGATGGTCATAGAGTGATTCAGATCTGTACACAGATTCAGATATGATTCAGAGTGATTCAAATATGTGTACCGGAATAAAAAATAATAACACCAGTGACACTCCTCCCCTCCCAACTTAGCAATAATAAAAGAATCTCAAAAACACAATCAAAAGTCATTCAACTTGAGAATTAAATAGAAAATGCAGTCTTCTGGAGAAGAAAATTTTCGGGAAACTGAGAAACAGCAATTTATATCTTACCTTCCAATTCACACCCCACCTTTACTCTAGAATTTTAAGTCAGCATAGTCAGTATTCCCCTGTCCAGTTTTTTCCCATAATCACTTTGTGACATAGGTTGGGCTGAGAAATAATGATTGAACCTGAATCTCCTTGGCCCAGCACTTCTTAACCACTATACCATGCTATAATTTAACCATCTTAACCACTATACACATGTTGTATCTTAATATAAATTTAAGTGTCTTAACTGAACCACTTCAGAAGCAACAAATTTGCTTGTTATTTGTCCACATAGAAATTTTGTCTACTACATTTGAAGTCTGCTAAATGGAGGTCTGTTAAATTGAGGTTTTACTGTATGCAGTTATGGTAGCAAACTGAATCCAAATCAAGCAGTTCAAACAATTCTGGCCTCTCTATGCATTATGCAGGGAAATATGCCTCCCCCGCCCAAGAACAGGTAGACTGATACAGGTTTTTTTGGTACCCTATCAAAATCATTAGCAACATTTTTTTTCTATTCAAACCAGCACCGTACCTGACACTGAAGCTTCCCAATCAGTTTAATCCATCTCCCTTACTTCATGGTGACTTTATCCTATAAAAACCATACATGGGGTATCCCTGAGGCTCCTCTCCTTGCATGTTAGCTGCCAGATGGTGCTTCTAACACCACTTTGTCACAAGGCCCATCGTCCTGCTGTGCAGCTACCAGTTCAAGATAATTCACAGCCATTATTTCCCACAACACCCAGAGGTTTGTTAGCAAATAAAGCTTTCCCAGTCCCAGCATGATAAAGATAACATTTATTGATTCAGCTGAAGGAGTCTTTCACAATGCGAACTCTTCTTGTTTCAACTTTGTTTTATGAGGGTCTCATTATGTGATTATTGATTGGAGGCACATCAAAAGGAAAAGAACTTCCACAGTCTTTCCCTGCCCCTCCCTTTTCTATACAATACATCACACAGTGGCCTGGATCTAAATTGTCATTCTCTTATTCAGGTTCTGTCTTTACTTCTCTCCATAAGCCTTCCCCAACATGCTCACTGGGCATTCTGGGAAGTGTAGTTCCAGTACACCCAAAGGGCACCAGATTGGAAAAGGCTACTCTCCACAGTTTACACTTTTCTTCATGAGATACACAACAAAGGTAAGGTTCCCAAACAAACTCAAACCAAATCAAACTAAAAAATGGTGGCTCCAATTCCTGTTTAAGGTTTGGACAAATAATGTCCTTTGCTTGCTTTGTATGGATTGAAATATATATTATGAGGCATGGAGATTCTGTGATGCCTGCAGGTATAGTTGAACTATGACTGCCAATGGGAGTTATGGCTGAACAATATCTGAAGGCACACCGATATGCATGACAACTTACCATCCAATATTTCAAGAGCATTTACAACAAAGATGGAATTCAGTTCCAAAGCAGGGTTGTATGGCCCAGAGGCCACATACCATCCCACGCATTCCTTTGCTGACTTCTGAGTGTTCCTAGAATGAATAGGCCTAATATTTGTTTACCTTTTTCTTTCTCAGGATTCTGGGTTTCTAAGGGGCAAAATGTATACTTTAAAAGGGTATACCTCTCCCCTTGAAAAGCCCAAATCCCCAAATATTGGGTCATACTTGGGTCAAAGAAGTGTGTTAAGACTCTGCAAGGCTTAAGACATCTATTCTGCAAGAGGGCAAGTGATGAAATGTATGTTGTGATATTATTATGCAAATATAATGGCTTAGGCATTCATGTCTAACATTCAGGTGCAAGTACAAAAGGAAATGGTTTTCTCTATGACATCACAACACATGCTCCATCTTTTTTCATAATCATGGTGACTTACCGATATCTATGGTATGCATAATGTAAAGAAGGAAAGGATACATAAAAGCCCTATCTTCAACATTTATTGATGCACAAGCTTCAGTTCAAAATTTTCCACATTCAGTGCAGCAGCCTCATTGCTTGAAAATTCCTGAAAACATCCAATTCACTATGGTGGGATATACTTTAAAACCTCTATTCAGGCCTTTATACTGATTGTACAAAGTCAGAGGTAGAATGGGTATGTATGTAGATGGCAGTAGATCTAACTCAGACCTTTTTTCTACTCAATATTCACACAAATGCAGGAAGAGCTCTAGAGACAACAGTATACTGTGCCTAAATTTCTTTGCATTTTTTTAGTGTTCTTTTTCAATTTAATAGAAAAGAAATTGTTTTTGAAATTCTCATGGTTGAAGTGCATTTCACTTAGTTAAGAGTAATACAAGCAGGTGTGTGAGTATCTTATCTTTATTGCACAATCTTTTGTGGTCTACAGCCTCCCATGCTTCCCATGCTTCAATTCCCTCCTAATGGAATTCCTCCTACATAATGTTTTCTAGATCAGACAGTATAGGCGACCAAAGAAGAGAAAAAATAACAGAGGAACATTTAACAGAAAAATAAGAATAATGCATAGCATCCTTTGCCACCTCATGGTAATAGAATAAGATCAAAAACAAAAGGAAATCATTCAGAAAAGTATAGTGAGAAGGAAGTTGAAAAACAGAAGCTTCTTTTACAAGGAAATAGAGGAATCTAAGAGAAGCCCTGCTGGATCAAGCCAATAGCTAACCAGGTGCCTCTGGGTAGCTTATAAGCAGGAAATGAGAGACATGCCCTTCTCTCACCATTGTGTTTTGGCAACTGGTATTTGGAGGCATATTGTCCCCAACCTGGAGGTAACATGGAATCTTCTAGACTAGAACTGCTCTCCATGAATTTATTCAATCCCCTTTTAAAGCCAACCAAATTAGTGGAAAATTTGCAAGAAATTGAGAGACAACATTTCATTACAGTAATGTATTAACAAAATAGTACTGCAATATGAGGATCATCTTGCCTTTTTCAACATTATAATAGAAGTGCAAACTTTGGGGCACGACAGCAAGCCAAGCCATGTAACATAGGAATGGCTGACATGAAATTCCACTGCCCATGCACACACACACACACACACACACACGCTTAAACTCTCTGCACAGATAATCCTGTAATGATAAAGAAAAAACCTAAGAAATAACTGCTGAAAACTCAAGTTAGCAACTTTGACAGCTCCCTAAAGGCATTATTAGAAACTTATGTTCTTTTTATTTATTGAAAACAGATATATTGTACCTTTCAATTCTTTACAGAGAGGCTAATGATAATACATTAAAAACAAAACAATTCATCTCCCTCCATAAAGCACAATTTAAAAACAGCTATCAGAGCAAAGATGGTGGGAAGCAAAGCAACAAGATCCCTTGTTGGCATGTTACACACACACACACACACACACACACAAATAGAGTGCAGAATAGCTAACTACAGAATTTTATCTCATTTGTATCAAGTTCTGTTTTGTTTTTATTGTATCATGCTTATCTATTAGTTTCTGAAAAGCAGTCTTTGTATGTTTTAAAAACAGCCAAATTCTGGAAGAACAATATTGATTTTACTTAGCACCTAAAAAACTGAAGGATTGGAGAAGTCACATGATCCAGATGTGACTATTCTACAACTGGGTTGCAGATGCTCAAAGCTCCTTGGTTCTATGCCATCTAATAAACTGGAGGAGGGACCCAAAGGTCATCCAAAAAAACACCTAAAGTACTGCAGTACTGTTCTGTATTTTGGTGTTCTTTAAACCTCTCCCATTTCCTAGCTAATGTCTTGAGTGAAAAAGATGATATGGGAACCAGCTGTCTTTCTGAAACCTGAGTCCCAAACTATTCATGCATTATGGTCAACACCACAACCCTGACATGAGACAGGAATTTAGACTCGATTAACATGATTTTTTTTTTCATACTGGCAAAATTCAACTTATTCTACATTGTATTTTGGACTTGTTTTAACATGGAAGGATATTAAATATTATCTCCAACTTACAGGTTCAGCAGTAGGACATTCTATGGTATATTACAGAACAGTTAATTTTCATCAATTTGAACTTGGAAGTGCACAATGAGTGGTAACTGAACCTGAGTTAAAATGGGACTCTGCAAGAGTACCAGAAAAGGTATGTTTGTTTATTTATTATTTATCTTTTATTTACTCTAGCCCAGCATTCTGTCCCTAGGAAATCTACAAGTTGGACCCAAATATGCACTTTCCCATACAGCTGGCTTTCAAGAGAGTGGCAGAAAAAGTAACTATTATGATTAGTAGTTAAAAGCCCTATAAGTTAATTTTAATTTATTAACCCCTGCTCAGTCCTAATCATGATTGGCCTCTAGGCACATCCTGCTTAACAATGGAAACATTTCCTCTATACAAGTAGCAACTGGAAGAGGCAATTTGGATCAGGATCACATGACACCCATGCACCCTTCCACCTTCCATTGTCCCATCTGGGAATGGAGACCCATATCTGCTACTTATTGTTTGTCAAGT